ATTCAAACCTTCAACAAACTTATACAACTTAAAATATTTTTCAACCTACTACCTTTTAATATTCTTCAACTCACCAAAAATTTTATAGTAAAAATTTTTAAAGAAAAACTTTAAAGATTTATTATTCAAAACTTTTATAATAATTTTAAAAAACTTTCTTAACAAAGTTATTAAAATAAATATTAAAAAATATATTTTATTTAGAAAATATATATTTAAAATTAATATTTAAAATTTGAATAAATGTTTGTCTAGCAGGGTGCAAAGTAATTAAATCTAGCATAGCATATTGATATAAAATTGAATTAGTTAAAAATGCAATATTTACAAATATACTAATAAAGCGAGATATAACAGTATTGCATTCCTCAAATTTATTAATAAATAAAATACATCATATAAACAAAAATTCTGAGCATTATAAGTTGTATCGTGAAACAAAATAAATACAAATTGCACCAAACAAAACAATTGCAGTCTCAAATTATTCTGTAGAAAAAACTTTATAAATCGTATTGCATAATAAATCATATTGCATAACAAATCGTTCTAAAAAAAAGAATCACCTTAAAAAAAAGAATTGTCCTAAAAAAAAGAATTTTCCTAAAAAAAAGAATTGTCCTAAAAAAAAGAACCTTGTACAAAATTATATTAAAAAAGAACTGCAAATATATTGTAAATGAAAAAGATCTCTAATTACTCTGCGCATAATCACGTTCTTATCACGAAATGCAACAAACTAATAAATATACACCTTCAACTCTAGCTATAGAGTACTATCAAAGACTTTCTAACATAAGCTCTATTGACCTTACTAATAATGATATTAGCGAGTTAGTTAAAAAATATCATAAGTTTCATAATGAAAAAGTTAATTAATTCATCAATTGAAACTAACTAACACATACCTTAGTTATATTTAATGATTACAGCCTTGAGTTCAATAATACACCCACAATGCAAATAGAAAATATGAAGTATGATGAAACTAACAAGCTTACATCTATAGATTCACTGATAATTATCTCAGAGGATATTCTTGAAAGCACATATTTTAATACGTAAGATGAGGTAAAAAATTATTTGAATGAATATGGTACTAGAAATAGCTTTGCTATTACTAAATATCAGATGGAAAGAAGTAACTCGGATTAAATCTATAAAAGAACCTTTGTCTGTAAATTTAGTGGAAAATACAAATCTAAAAAAACACTTAAAGTAGCTTTAAATAGAATACAAAGAGACACAAAAACTAAGAAAGTTAATTGCTTGTGGTATATCAACTTGTCTTTTTTGGAATGAACTACTCAAATCATAATCATGAAATATATTAATTAATATAATCATGCTCTTGTTCCTGAAACCTGAGAATTTGGAGTAAAATATCAGTTATTATCTAAAGAAGCAATCAATGAAATAAAACTAATGACTAAGTATGGTAATTTGTTACTCACAGTACAAAAAAGTCTTCTAAAAGCTCAATTTCTGGATCTGAATTTTCAAGATCAAGATTTAGCAAATATGATTTAAAAAGAAAAAACACAACTAAAATTAGCAATGATATATCAATTTTGCTTATATCTTTGATACAAAAAAAGCTAGAAGACCTATGCTGAGTTGTTAATTTCGAGCTAGACAAAAATAATCGCTTAGTTCATCTTCTTTAGATGTTTCTAGGCTAGGTTGATCTTTGGCTTAGGTACTATAATATTGTTGTCAATAACAATACTATATGAACTAATCAGTACTAAATGCTATTAGGAATTTTTGTAGTAGTTGATAACAAATGCAAAACTTGCCTTGCCTGCCAGGTATTTATAAGTAATAAAACTGTTGACATACATGTTTGGATACTTGAATGTATCAAAAAAGCTACAGACAAAGTTCCAATTGTTATGTTTACTGATAGAGATCCTGTATTTGATGCAGCTATTCTAATTGTTTTTTCTAAAACATATTTGGAATATTGTATTTTCCATATTGCACAAAACTTACCCAAAAACCTAAAGCAAAACTAGATAGTAATTAAGATAATTTTATCAAACAGTTTTATAAGTGCTATAATAGTTTGTATGAACCTTTATTTAAGGAAAGGTGGAACAAATTACTTAATGATTTTCCAATAGCAAAAGATTATTTTCTAAGTATATTGGATTCGAGGTGTCACTCATAGGCTTGTGTTTATCTTCACAGAATATTCACTGCAGGTACTGAGAGCATAGCAAAAGTTGAAAGTTATAATTGGGTCATTAAGCAATAATTAAAAGCAAACAGTATCTTATGTGAGCTTGCTGACTAGCTTGATGCAAGATTAAAAGAAGAAGTATAATAAAGTCAGTTTCATGATTACAAACAAGCTATTATGACAAATACTATTTCTATTGCTGGACAAGATTTGTTCTCTAAAGTAGTAAAAGTTATTGATGAATATCTTATAGAACCTATTACTAACATAATTAAAATAGAAATATCACAATGTCTATTTATTAGTACAAACAAGATTGAACCTAATATTGAAGAATTACATAGCAAACAGGTATGATACATAGTGCTAAATTAGAATCCAAACTTATCTAATAGCATGCCTTGTATTATAAAGGAAAATTATTAACTAGAATCCAATAGATTTATCAAAGACCAATATGATACATGTCTTATTATGCTTCAAACAATTATTGATGAAGTAGAACAAGAAAATGTATTAGAAATATAGAGAATTACAGACATAAGAAGTGAAAAAAGATGTAATATACATTTTGTTATTATTGTCAATATGGTATCTTTCCTATGCTTCTGTCTAATATTAATTTCAAAGAAAATTATATATCACTACTATTTTTGTGTTATGATGTACTCAAACATTATAGTATTTCACATTAGTATGATATCTCAAAGATGATATAAAGACCACTACTAAGATAGGCT